TGTTCTTATAATATGAATTTTTTCTGTGCTGGTGTTGTGTACTCAGGTGAATAATATGTTTGTGATGTTACTCTGAGTGCACATCCACACCGGGCGAGCTTGAAAAATATGCCCGGCCACGGTGGGATTCGAACCTACGACCTTTGGAATACTAGCCCAATGCTCTTCCAACTGAGCTACGCGGTCAGGACGGTTCGAGTAAGTGATATTTCGGAACAGTCACTAGTTCCTTCAATACCAATGTGTTCTTATAATATGAATTTTTTCTGTGCTGGTGTTGTGTACTCAGGTGAATAATATGTTTGTGATGTTACTCTGAGTGCATATCCACACCGGGCGAGCTTGAAAAATATGCCCGGCCACGGTGGGAATCGAACCTACGACCTTTGGAATACTAGCCCACCGTGGCCGGGCATATTTTTCAAGCTCGCCCGGTGTGGATATGCACTCAGAGTAACATCACAAACATATTATTCACCTGAGTACACAACACCAGCACAGAAAAAAATCATATTATAGCTTCAGATAGTTAGGCTTGCCGAGCCCCGGCAACGAAAAAAAATGCCTCTCGTAATCCTCTGTTCTACAATGATCCGAGCATATAGTCGAAGTCTTTGACGGCACAAACAAACCCTTTGCACATACAAAATCAACCCATACTAGTTCTTCTTTTAGCTTCCGCGTGTTCGTCGTTGAAGTATGGAATATTGTGTAGACTTATTCCATCTTTTAAACATACTTTATTGGTACAGTTAGCTGCAACACGGCATATCTTTGTAAAGAGGCATATCTTTTTCGATCACAAATCTACCTATATATCCGCCGAGAGTTAATAGTACTAGTATAGTCGAATAAAAGAATATACGCCGACTCACTTGCGTGACGTAACAAAAATCGCTCGTTCCAGTTTCCTTCGAACACGGACGCCTGCCAACCAACAGCCCAAATTTTGCGTGTTCAAACGGCTCTAAAATTTTTTCGTTTTGATGAAATCGAAAAATTCTTTCGCTAGAACACTATACTAAATGAGTACTTTCAATAGACTGAAAAAAAATTTTTGTGTCAGGAGCACTTTAAGAACAGCCAGTTGGATTGCAGGAACGACACTTGGAACAATAATTCTTCCAAGTGCATGCGCATTCGATTGACGTCAAAGGTAGATTCAAGTTTGGAAAGGTAGTGAGATTATACAGATTGTTTTTGAAGGAAGAAATAGAGGTACATTCGGTGATATGAGCGGCAAGACTGTTCCAAAGAAAAACAATCCGGTTGAAAAACGAGTCTCTAAAAAGATACGTTCTGCAAAGATTAGGAGTTAATAACCTCTGCTGGTTTGCACGAGTGTGAGAGACAGAGTCTGAAGAGAAAGTGACAAAAGAAGGGACATCTAGATATCATAAAGACCTTGTAAACACTTGAAAAAGAACAGAAGGTCCTTTACTTCCAGCAAGTAAGATATTGGAAGTTATATGAGTGTTTTGAGATGCACAGAATAGAAGTCTTGAATTTCTTCAAGACTTCTTTTCTGTGCATCTCAAAACACTCAAATTACTTCCAAGGAACACGTTTGCGAGATATAGTAAGACAGATTTAGAAACATTAAATCTGAGTTGCCAAGAGAGCGATCATTTAGCCACAGATTCAAGATCGCGTTGAAGGAGATCTTTATCTGCCTGAGATTGAATTGCGCGATAACAGTTACTGTCACCAGCAAACGACGCAACAGTGCTGCGTTTTGTTGTATCTGGAAGATCGTTAACATATAGGATGAAAAGAGGACCAGAGACACTACCCTGGGGTACACCAGATGTAACATCAAGATAAGAAGAGGAAACTCCTTCGAAGCGAACCAGACATACCATAAGACTGACTCTTATCACTAAGTTTGTTGTGAAGAACAGAGTCAAAGGCTTTAGCAAAATCTAAATAAATAAGTGTCAAGAGCAGAACCGACATCATGAAGAACCTGTAAAAGCTGAGTAACACACGATCGATTTGAACGAAACCCATGCTGAATATTGTATAAGGAATCTTTAACAAAAGAAACAAGACTATTATAGTTGAGTAGTTTTAGTTTTAATAAGCTTTCGTACATTTATACGAGGAGTTAAACAACAGAGCAAGCTCCATGCAATCAAGGTTTAACTCCGAAATTACAAATTAATTACTCTAAAAGTATTAATACATTAGTAAAATAAGAAATACAAACTTAGATAATATATAACCTTAACGACATATTGACAAACTAGACACACTGCAACATTTAAAGAACTGACTACAGTCCATGTTCTGAATTATCCGCATCAAATATATTTGACAATGCCCAAAAATATTTTCTTTTCAACAAGTTCTTAAAAGTCCTTGGATTCTAAAAAGTCCTTGGATGAAAAGTCCTAAAGATCACACGCTCGAGAACCTTAGAAACCAGAGAAAGAAATGAAACATATCTACAGTTTATGACTTCATGAGAATCTCCTTTTTTAAGAACAGGCGCCACGTTTGCAAGTTTCCACTCAGAAGGAGCTACAGTATTCTACTCTCTATAGATATCTCAAATGAAGCAGCAAGAGATGGGGCAATAACTTCCGAGCAACGCTTCAAAAGACAAACGGGGGAATGCCATCTGGACCACTTGGCACGTTATCGTGCATTATATATACTACGTTTATCAATTTATATTTTTCATACCAATAAAGATCAGGCTTTTAGCTGTCAAATGCTACCTTTCTTGTAAAAGTGCCGGTCGAAATCGCATTTTTCCGTCGACACATGCACCGTTGCATGGGAATTGCATGAAAAGCTGTTGTCTGGGTATTGAAATTATTCTCATTTGGGATTCAAATTAAAGTCCCTTGAGTAAATATGGCGCAACGCATGTGTAAGTATCAAGTTTTGAGAAACTTTTACTCGCGATTTTACATCGAAATTGAGTGGCTAAAACATTTTACAACACTGGAAGCTTGTAGGCTGGCCTCCATTTGGGAAAATGTTCGAAATTTGGAAGAATCCCAAAGGTGGAAAAATTAAATCGAGAACCGTTCACTTTAAATCAGATCGCATTTGGTCTTTTTTATCGGAATCATTCCACACCGTGTCATTTGACAGCTAAAATATTTATAAATACGAAAAAGAAAACCTATTGACATATTAAGTTTAAACGCACGATGACATGTCAAATTTGGATAAACTTTTTTTATACACCCTGTATAAACGACCCCTGTAATCTATGGATCAACTACATAACAGCTGCTGCCATCAAACTTTGATCCTTTGATAATTTTTGTTATATTCGGATCGGGAACAACACCAAGTGGATTCTTTGTATTATGCTCTTCATGCCAATATGTAAGTTGACTAGTAACAACTCTTACAAACTGCCTATATGTTCCTTCACTAAGTGGCAGTGCTTCATGTGGTGTGCGATCTGTAAGCCAATACACTATGTTTGCATCCATCACCTCACACGATGAAGGTAAAAACGCCCGTAGTTGCTCAATATCGCCATGTTCACCAATAACATCAGGGGAATTGTCATCGGGTGGAAGAATCTTGCAATTCCAAACTTTACACGAGTTTGGAACATTTGATGCCATGTAAATTCCACCTTTTAATTCCTGTGTAGTTGCGAAACCACCTCCCCATGCGTTATGTCTTGTAGTAGTACTTACTTTTCCTTTAGTAATTCCCTTGAGCATTACAACTCCAGGAGATTCGGTGTGAATTCCCGGCGTTCTCTGAGTTGAACCTTTCTCAACATAGCTTTCAAGGACTGTTAAATATCCTATTTTACCCACTTCGCTACTGACGATACACTGAGCAAGAATTTGGTCCCAATATGTTCTCAAGTAGTCTGGAAGCTTTGTTTCCTCGAATCTCTTTGCCATAACAAACGGCATCATGTTGATATCGATATCACTGGGTTCTGGAAAACGTACAAGCCAATCAGAATGGGAATCCAAATCTGTGTAGAAGTGTCCCCACTTAACTTTAACAAAATTGAGGTCGACACTATATCTTAGGTCGACACTGTCTCCATTCTTTATTCTCGATTTGTAGTATGTTAGTACATCGTGCCATATTGATTTTAAGATATAATGCATTCCGGCCAAAAGATGAAAATGACTATCAGGATCATAAAGACCTACTAGTATTACTCGTGCGACTGGATTAAGGTTGGTAGCTTCTTCCACATTTGTTGCCATTATGGGGATCCCTGAAAATTGAAAGAAAAGTACGTAAACACCAAAACTGGATGAAATCAAACGTCAAAAGAATGATAAATTAGATATGTTGAACGAAACAGAGCTGTAGGCAATAAAAGTATAAAACATCTTAAATGTATAATTACATCTTAATTAATCACTTCTTGATAGCATTTTTGAGTCAATTTTATCCTAAATGTATTACGAGATATACTATATACTATACTGTAGTCTGTGTATCCCAACGGTCGATGGGAGGAAAATGATAAAAACTGACTTACGGACTTTCGTCGTTTAGGGATTAAGTGGAAGCAACAGGTATTTGGCGTGCATTAGCTTTTTTATAAAGCTTGTAAATTATCATGGACTCTTACTGATCTGGTGGCATACGGGTGGCAGAAGGACATATATCCTCAGAAAATGTTGAAATCTAGAGTCGCTTATATGGCATTTCCTGCATTCTGGGGAAGAGTCGATTTGCAAAATCCTCTGTTTCATCATGTAACGGGAAATTATGAGCATTCAATGTATAATAAGTTTGCATTGGAGAAAGCGAAGAATATTAAGTTCTCCCACTCTAATCATTCTTTGGGAGGGCTTCGGTCGCCCCACTTTCACCTCTGTTCCACCACCCCAACACATAATTGTTTTGTAAAGAAGATAGGGGGGGGAGGGTCTGAGAGTTCTCCACCAGAAAATGTTTATATTTTTGATGCTCGACGACTGCATTTCTGGAGTATCAATAAGAGATACGACAAACATATCTTCACACTGCACAAGTGGATTTAAAACCGAAAATTTTCTAACACCTTCCCAATTTTTCATCCAATTTGACTAAAGATATCGGCTAGTATCAGCAGAGTTGGCAGAAAGAGTGGATTCATCAGGTTCTTTAATAAGTGACGCCCAGATTGTTCTTGCCACATCAGTTGATTCAGTTCTAGCGATAGGCAATTCCAGCTATAGACTAAATTTTGATCTAGGCAAGAAAAACAAAATCCATCACAACAGCTAGAAAGAGCATGTTAAAATGAGTAAAATTTCAAAGTTTGGCCGCGAAATGTTGTAAAATGCGGAACATATAGCCATAGGCGACGAAAGATCGATAAGTGGGGGGGACCATATTTATATATTCGTGTTCTGCATTATTAATTTCTTTTGAAATCGATTGTTTTTACGGTCTGTGAACACGAACACATGAATATGGTCCCCTCATCAATCTTTTGACGCCTATGCATATAGCCCTGCGAAATTTGCAAATTTTGTATTAATTTGTATTACGCGCGGGAAAATGCACCACATTTGGGCCGAAAGTGGTGCATTTTCCCCTGCGTAATACAAATTAATACAAAATTTGCAACATTTCGCAACCAAACTTTGCAATTTTACTATTAATGTGTTCTTCTTGCCTAGATCAAAATTTAGTCTATAGCTGGAATTGCCTATTAAGAGGTGCGTAAATTGAACCAACCAGGTAGCGAATGAATCTTGTTTCAACAAGCCTTTTCATGCTCTTTGCTCTTTGGCATATTTTCCAAATCATAGTGCTCAGTTTCGAAAGAACATCGTCTAGTCATTTAAAATCCAGTTGTTTTCGGATCTTTCCCACCATTGACTCAAGCTTGTGTGCTCTAATCATCTGGTCTTCCCTCCATACCGAAAGGTTACAAACTTACAATTTGCTAATTGCCCGACATCCGCCTGATGACAAAAACTTTTAATGTCTCCAGTACAAACTGCTTCGCAATCTGTAGACGACGGCGTCACGCTCTTGCCCATGGTTTCCTCGGACATCTTCAGCTAATTATGCATTTTTTAAGGAAGTTGAGTACACGGCAAAATACACCTCTGCCATCACTGGCACGGTCTGCTACTGGCGTATCACCGAGTCATTGTGTATATTCAGGAAGAGGATCCTCGTGCTGGGAAATGACACTTTGGTTTCCATTGATACAAACAGATTGACCGTTGTTGTGGCACATACATAATTTGCATGCGTTTGTTGTATGCATGCAGCTAAAACTGCATGCGTGTACTTGCATGCACTTCTTTCGGCATGCATGCAGGATATAAATTTGCACTTAATGCAATGCAAGCAAAATCTCGTCATGCTTGTAAACATAAATTAAAGCAGATTATCAATACAAACTAGACAAGGTCACCATGCCTGCTCAGCAGCCCCCACCCGAAAATTTGAAGCGAAAATTAGGGGTCTGCTAAAGTGCGAACATAATCGTGTTCCGTGATGTTAGAACTGCTTGCATGAATTACTTAGCTACATAGGGCCTTTTCATATGGGGAAAAGTTATCCCGATCAGCGCGAAAACATTTCGACTAGCCAAATAATTTTGTTCTGTTCATGTGGAGAAACGTTATCCCGCTTACTGGGTAAAGTTTCCGGCTTGTGACGTAGCACTGGTGTGACGCGCAAGGCGGGAAAAGTTAAAAAAAAACTTTAAATACATTTTAAAACCAGAAACGTTGCTGACACGACAGAAAGTTTTCCCGCTAAGCGGGAAAGTTGTGGCTATGTTGTGTTCATATGGGAAAAACATTATCCCGGGCACCGAGATCTCGCCTGTCAACAAGCGAGATCTCGGTACACGGGAAAACGTTTCGTCTCATATGAACGCAGTGTAACTTTTCATATTATTTTCATAACAAGGCGAGATCTCGCCTGTAAACTTGTCGAAATGTTTTCTGGCTAACCGGGATAACTTTTCCCCATATGAACAGGCCCTGGCCCTTAGAGTCATTGTTGCGCGCTTTTGTTTATATTTTATTATTTCCACTGCTTCGCGGGCATGCGTTTCAAACCCTTTCAAAGATTATATCCAACTCTGAAACATACAGTATACCGAATTGTGAATTAAATATTTAAATTAGTATAATTATGATCGTGAAGATGACTTAAATGTGTATGATTCAACAATTTGAACGAAATTTCGGGCTGCGAGCAGGCTAGGTCACCATCAGAAAAACATATAAACTCGCCTTTTAATGTTATACTATTACCAGCTTCAAGCAGACGCTAATGAATTGTCAACATGATTACACAAAACGTTAGATACAATTTACTAATACAATGATGGGTCATCATATCTTAGACGGGTAAGTAAGACAAACCTTTGCTTACAGTTAGTCTATTTATGTTTTAACTGCACTCTGCAGTCATTGATAAATTAATCATGGGTTTTAGGTATTGTTAAAGTCACCTTTGGCTAATTGATTTCTATATCCACATTGGTTGCCTTATCATGCCTTATTTGAGTTCATGTAGTAATCTTTCATAAATATTAATGCCACTATGAATGTTATTTAGCATAACTCCTTGTTGGTAAAACAGTAAAGCCAGAAAATAATAACACACACCAGAGGATCTGTTGTATATGACAATAAAAAATTATGACAACTGCATGATCATGAGACATGTGCATGGTCTGCATGACAACAAGATATTGAAGAGTACTACAGCAGCAGTAGTATTATGCGGTTTTATTATGTATATATAAGCAACGCAAAGTGTTTATATGATCCTGTCACTTATCCCGCCTAGACGGGATATCGGCAACAGATGCCGGGATCCCGCCTAAGCGAGATGAAAAATTCCCATATAAAACACTTCATCCCGCCTAGCCGGGATGAAAAATACCCATATAAACACTTCCAGTTAAATTGGATTTTTTTCTTTAACACTTACATAATAAAATAATTATTGACTGGGACTTTCAGGAAACAATATGTTTACTTAATGTTATGTGGACTGTCAACTGCCAAAGTTT